CTTTTGCTCCCTCTGGTGTTTGTCAGTGTTACTGCGAGTTTTCAGATGTTGTGACAAGCCTCTTAAGTTCTTTTTTGTTCTCCACAGCGCCTAGTCATCCAAAGAGTGCTGGCTCAGTTAGCCTTCTGAGTTAAGTGAGACAGAAGATAGTCCCTTGGGCAACTCCCTCAAAAGCTGAAATTTTAGATATACGTTCCACTCTTCTGTTTCCCTCCCAAGGAAGAAGCTGTGAGCTGAATGTTTTCTCCTGATTGCCCAAAGCAGTATCAGATCCTGTCTGGTGATTCTAGTTCTTGTGTGCCATCTTGCTCCCTCTTGGGCTTTTTTTGATAAGTAGATTCGTATATTTTATCTTAAATACTAGTTCTATTTCATTTTCTCTTTTTTTGCTTTGTTTTTTCTTCAAGGACTCCACTTATATGAATGTTGTTTCTTCTTTGTCTGTTTTTATAGTCTGTCATCTTTCTTATCATTTTACTTCTTTCTTCACTTTATTTCTATTCACTTGGTTATTTGACATCCTATATAAAATACATTTAAGTCTTTGAGTATATTTTACACTAGGCTTCTCATAATTTTAGTTTTCATCTCTGAGGTAATTGTCTTTTTCTTTCTTTTTGCATTCAATCAACTCTTTCCATTTTTTTCCTGAGTCTTTTGCATCCTCCAAAGGATGCAATCTTAGTTTTTTGTATATTTGGGGTAGGTCACAGCATTCTTAGTTTAGTAGTGCCCGCTTCTGTCTGTGTAAGCTGTGTGGAATGATCTGCTTTTGAGGAGTAGGCAAAGAATAGCTTGTCTCATTCTGGCTCTTTCTAGCTAGTGGTTCACAATCCCTATAATTTTGTTTTCTGCAGTACAAGTGGGATGGGCTCAGTTAAAAAATTTTTTTTTCTTCTCTGTAAGTATTTGAAACTTAGTCTTTTGATTTTTATCTCCAAGAATTTTGCTGCACTTGTTTTGTGCTGATGGTTCATCTGTGACTCAGTTTGTCATCGTGGCTTAAGCTTTTCAGTTCTTTACCTAGTAAGTTTGTAATTACAGTGAGGTAGAGTAGATAATTGTAAGTATTCAGTCAGCTCTCTTTAGTTGGAAATTTTAGATGTAAATTTTTAAAATATCCATGAATGTTTAGCTTTGTATGCAGCCTAATTTGATGGATTCTGAAACCTAGCCTGCATATTGGGGCAAGATGGAAAAGATGCATACAAACAATGATTCAAATTTCAGTCCTGCTAATTTATGTCATAGAAATCATAGAGTTTTAGTTTACTCATCTCCAGAAGAAAAAATATTTCTACCTTGTACCTTGTGGAATTGTGCTTGGTACTTATACATGACTAGAAGTCATTAATTGTTTAGCATCTTTTAGTTTGTGTTTAATGGCTTACCATATAATCTCATGTGTTACTAGGAAGAGCATAAAGTGTACAGAAATTATATACATTTTTCTTAATAATTGATGCTTTCATATTGTGTGGAGAAGACTCTTGAGAGTTCCTTGGACTGCAAGGAGATCCAACCAGTCGATCCTAAAGGAAATCAGCCCCGAATATTCATTGGAAGGACTGAGGCTGAAGCTTCAATACTTTGGCCACCTGATATGAAGAGCTGACTTATTGGAAAAAGACCCTGATGCATGCAAAGATTGAAGGCAAAAGGAGAAGGGGGCAGCAGTGGATGAGATGTTAGATAGGATCACTGACTCAATGGACCTGAATCTGCGCAAACCCTGGGAGGCAGTGTAGGAGACAGAGGAGTCTGGTGTGTTGCAATTCATGGGATCTCAAAGGGTAGGACATGACTTAGTGACTCAACAACAACTAAATATTTCTAGGAAAACACAAAAAATGTTTAGATATGTAATACGATAGGCGTCAAAGGATATTTCAGAATGTCAAAGTAACCATGAGAAGTGATTTTGTGTTTTTGGTGGAGAGTGTTCCTTCATTTAAGATGTTAAACTTATATATAAACTTATATATATAAACACTTATATGTGTGTGTATGTGTGTGTATATATATATATGCAAAAGGGCACACGGAAGGAATAGCATTTTGTGGAATGTTCTATCCTGTATTCTTCCAGGCTTTTTTTCAGGGCACTAGAGGTCTGTGTTATGTTTTCTACTGTTATCTAAGAGTTCTAGTTTATGGATATAATATAACAATTTATACAATAATTATGTATTTATTGCTATTTAGACTTTTTTTTTTTGGTGTGAGAAACAGTGTCATGATGAGCATTTTCATTTAGTCAGTGTTGCCCATTTGTTGGTTGCCTTTTGATGAATTCCATTTGTGGAGTTAGTAGATGAAAGGCATACTTTCTTAAAGGAAATTAAGTAGTGCTTGGTTTTTAGTTGTTTTTAAAAATTAGGTAACATCACCAATGTATAATGCAGCATGTAACAAGAAGAGCATTACTCCTGTCAATCTCTTCCCCCACAGTACAATGACAAATCAAAACTCTGATACCTACTTTCAGGATTTTGTGTGTGTTTGCCACTGATTATAACTATTATATGAAACACAGTCCTCAAGAAGCCTTGTCATTGTTTTTTATGATTTTTTTTTTTTTTTACAGATTGAGAGACTGATAATCTGGGTATGGAAATGGTAGCTGAAAATTTATTCGTAGAGCTAAATTTAGTCTGTAAATAGGGAGTATGTCATGGTCTAGCTCCTTAAATTTCTGGCTGCATCTGTCATCTGTCTGCTGCATTAAGGAGGAAAGTCATCCATGATCTGTTTTTAAATTTTTCATTTGTAAAATTAATGTTAAGTCTTAATCTATTAAAGATGTATTTCAAAAATTAGATTATACCTAAAAATATATTTAGGACAAAGTCAAATATACATCAAAAGAATCTCTTCAAATATAAAATGTGTGCATTTTTTTTGTTACCTTTGTCTGTAGATTTATTAGCATTATAAGAACCTGTTTTATAATCTTTATCGGATTTTTCTAGTAAGGATGGAATAGTCAAGAAACATTGGAATCAGAGTCCTGAAATTTCTCTTATATATCATTACTATTTGCCAAGAGTAAGTCACTTGTTTCTTGAGTGCCATTTATAAAAATGGAAAATAATATCTACCCTTGTGTCCCAAGATTGTAAGGAGCTAATAGGCATGTGATTGTGGGTGTAGTTTGAGAACTATAAAATATTATATCAGTGCAGGGTGACATTGCATACTGTATCACTTTCTTTAACCAGGAGAGGTGAAATATCAAGGTAATAGGAAAATAGAGCTTCCCAGGTGCCTCAGAAGGTAAAGAATCTGCCTGCAATGTGAGAGACCCAGGTTTGATCCCTGGGTTGGAAAGATCCTCTGGAGAAGGGAATGGCTACCCATTCCAGTCTTCTTGCCTGGAGAATCCCAGGCAAGAGGAGTCTGGTGGGCTGGAGTTCATGGGGTCACAAAGAGTTGGACACAACAGAGCAACTTTCACTTTCAACAGGAAAATACAGGGTTAATTAATGCTACAAATCACTGGCCTCACTCAAGGCCTGGCTTCCTAGTTTCTTGATGCTGTTTGTGTGTTTGATCCCCTCAAAAGTTCTTAGTCAACTCAGAAGTTTTACTCCAAATAGATTTTAACTAAATTGATAGTAATATTTGTATGAAAAGGATACTTAGTGCTTCAGCTTGGGATTCTGCCCTATGAAGAAAAACATTTTCTGAAGGTGAAGAAACTCTCAAATCTAAGCCAGCACCCACTGTCCTGTCCCTTTGTTCAACTGCTTGCCTTTTTTTGAACGTCTCTGATCTCTAGTCTATTTTGGATATTCTGTTCCCTGTGCCTGGATTGTTTCTTCTTTTCCTCTTTTGCCTTGCTAAATGTTGATCCTCAAACTCTTTAGTTTATATTTTACTTCCTTTGGACATGTTTATCTGTTCTCCCAGAATGAGTGGTTCGACTAATTGTGAAGAGACATGCCTGTCAAGCTCAGATGTGATTGCATACTTAGATAATCTGTCTTCCACTAGCTAAGTTCTTTAATGGTGAAGTCTGTCTCTGTCTCATTCACTCATAATTCTCAGTGACAGGAATAGTATCTGCTGTCTACCAGGTGCTCTGAAAAATGTTGAAAGGATGGCTCCTGATACATAAATCTTAATTTATGCAATGCAACGTAGCCAGATGAGACTTGAAGGAATTTCAGAAGCAATCCATTTAGATATTTAGGAACCTTAAAGAGAGGAGGCAGTGTGGCTAGAATAAAGTTTGGGAGGAGAGAAGTGTGAGATAAGGTCAGAGAGATATAAAGTCTTGTAAGTCATTGAGTGATTTTAACCTTTAAATATGAAGCAGATCCTGTGGGGAATGACATGGCCTAGTTTACCTTCTAAACAGTAAAGGGGCTTTGTTGGAAATTGTTCATGGTGGGTCAGGGAGAAAGTATCTGTTAAATGGTGAGGTATTGAGAAGTTACTAGAATCCGGATGTATACTATAGGAACTAATGTATACTATAGGAACTATTATTTCGTCTTCGTTAAAAAATGCTTCTTGCCATGATGGTAATAGAGTCTGTTGGTTATCATTTTCTCTTGTCTCTGCGTTACTGAGAATTTTGTGCTTTTGAAGTTTGAGGTGTATAAAGGCAGAAGATACTTAGAATCTGATATAAATTCTTTTCCTGTTATTTGCTTTTATTTGTGTTATCTGCTATTGGTGATAAACACCTCAATTAATTTAGCAAACAACGGGTCAGTTTTCTTATAACAGATGTTAAATTCTACTTTGTGAATACTTATTTAAAAATTCTGCTTATTAAAATTGTAGTCATTTAAGGTGAATACCAGTATGTATACAAGTATTAAGGGAGAATAATGGCAATGTTTTCTGAAGGTCTGTAGCAAAGGAACTATTGTTTTTTAATTGATTCTTAAAGTACTTTGCAATTATTAAACAAAGTAAATTTTAAGTAGAATTTTGTTTTGAATTGGAATTATGAAAACAACTCACATTGCCTGCTTTGCATTTTCCAGGAACATCACTTACAGCGAGCTATTTCAGCACAGCAAGTGTTTAGAGAAAAAAAGGAGAGCATGGTCATTCCAGTTCCTGAGGCAGAGAGCAACGTCAACTATTACAATCGCTTGTACAAAGGAGAGTTTAAACAGCCAAAACAGTTCATTCATATTCAGCGTAAGTTTGTTAATTCATTGTTTTTTGTTTGTAATTTAAATTTATCAAACAGTGAAAAATCCTTTCTCTCTTTTTACACAAAGAAATTTTAATTTTTAAGTTGATACCCACTGATTTACAGAAATGTAAAACATGAAAGAATAAAATTCCTCTGTGCTTATATCTGAACTTCAAGATCATTTTGATTGATTGTTGCATTTGGAACAGTTGATGGTTGTGTTGTATAGGATTTTCTGCAGAACTTACACTTATTATATAGCTAGAAGGTATAATATATTATTTTTTTTATATATATTTTTGCATATTATACTTTTTTTTATACATTTACTATACAGCTATAAGGTATAATGGATTACCATACCCAAATAAGGTTTATTTTCCAAGGCCTAGTGGCTAAATGCTGATTAGGGGTAAATCTGAAATTTTTTAGAATTAGATCCTACACCTCTACCTTCTTGTAATTTTTATAGAATTCTAATTCTTCCTCCTTTGATCCTCTTATTTTTCTCCCCATTGTTATTTTTTAAATGATCACCATCTCTGATATCTCTGATCTTAAACTGTTTCACTGATCTCCTAACTGTTCTATTATCCTTACCCTCTTCTAATCTGTCTTCTCCACAAAGTCCACTGGCACCATAATGTGCTTCCTGAAGTGTCTGTCTGATCAGATTATGACCTGGGCTTAAAATTGTAATGTGTTCTTTATTTTATAGTAGCAGTTTGCAGCTAATTTTGCAGACAGATGCTAGTGTCTTAGTATCTTGTCTGGTTGTATTTGGGAAAAAAAAACAAAACTTGAAGTCATTTGTTAAAATAGTGTTGAGGGCTCTGCTTCAAGCCTACCTGTATGAAAATCTCTGGTTTGCAGCCTGGTAATAGGTATTTTTAAAAAGTTGTCAGGGTAATTCAAAACATCTCCAGATTTACTACTGACTGTAAGATCTAGTATTTTTCATCAGTTCTCAAGACGTACATTTGTCATATTTGAAATGAGATTGCATTTTAAATTGCTTTTCTTCTCTATTAAAGTATGGTTTGTCTAAAGAGAATTTCTACTTGTTTTTGCCAGGCATCTGGGGACCAACCTGAGACCACCTTAAAGTCTTTGCTTGTTTTGTTTTATTTGTTTGCTTTTGGACCACACTGGTAGCTTTAGTTTTACTTGTTTGTTTTTAGACCACACAAGTAGGCTGCAGACCTGCTTGGAATTCAGTTCTCAAGGAGAGATTTTCTTCCCCCCTCCTTCCACCTAAGGGCAATTTGAGAAATATGGTTTCATGTTGTTCCTTTCTGCATGGCTATTTTATTTATCTTACGCTGAAGTCCTTGCCCTTTGATATAGAGCTTTATGTAGGAATACTATATAAATTTAAATATGAAGCTTTTTCTTTTTCTTTGCAGTTCATAAAGTAATGGTGCATCTTGTAATTGCTGGCATTATAGATTTAACAGAATGCAATAATAGCCAAAGTCTCTGATTTGAATACAAGGTCGTTTGTGATTTGTTACCTGCTCCCCCCTTAACCTCATTTCCTGTTGCTCTTTCCCTCCCACTTTATACTGTAGGGAATAAAATTATTCACATTTGCCTTATTTCACATTTCCTTGCATGTGCTGTTCAAGTCTTCTTTCCTTTTCTATAGCTTAAGATCTTCTAACTCCCTTTTGCCGCTTAACCCTGGTTTCTCATTCTGCCTCTCCTTTGCTTCATCTCAGTACCTTGTATGTACCTCTGTCAGAGGACTCACCATACTTTATTGTGATTATTTATAACCATTCTTTCTCTCCTTTTAGATTGTGAGCCCCTTGAGGGCAGGGACTATGTTTTATTTTCCCTTTGTATCTTTAGAGTCAAGTGCATGGCTTATAGATGCTCAATAAAATGGCTTGTTTGTTGACTGGTTCAGTTGTTTTTAAATGGCTTAAAAGCCCTTAAGTGTCAGAACCATTTTCCAGAGACTCTTCCCCTAAGCATTCAAGAGAAACACACTTGCAAAAATTATTTGTGTGATTTGTTTTCTCTATGTCTTTGACTTTGAATCCCTTAGCTTGTTGAATTTTCCTTGTCTTTGTATCAGGAATGAGATAGCTGTTCATAATAGAAATTTTAAGCATTTTTCAAGCCAACATACCCCCACTCCTCCTTTTTTTTTTGTATTTTAATAACAGTATAGCTGGACAATAGGACCATTTGTAAAACCCATTCTTGGCAACCAAGAACCAGAAATTGGATGTAACCCATCTGGGTCAGACCCAATAGATACAATAAATATTAATCTTGTGTTGTTTTTTTTTTCCATTTCATTTTATTCTATTGCTGTAATAAATAGAATAAAAATAATAGAAAATTATTTTAGCTACTTCCATTTTTCTTGGTGAGTCTGTTAGTGTATATATCTTATATATACTATTCTATACTAAATTGTGCTACACAGTTTTTTCTGCCTTTTCTATTTATATTTTAGTTTCCTCAGGTTTTTATGTAGTCTTTTGTTGTCATTTTCAGTGTATATATAATTTTCCATCAAATGTATATTCCATTATTTGCATGCCTTTTTGCCTACTATTGGGTGTCCTTGGTGGTTATGCTTTAGTCTGTACCTTCCAATCCGTCATCCACATTGTCACTTTTGTGATTGGTAGCCATTTAGAATGTTCCCAAGACTTACTGCTGCCTATAGGATAAAATTTTAACTTATGTGTGTGATGTTTAAGGCCCTCCTTTGTGCCTGTCTAGTCACAGTCTGCTATGTGTTCTTCCACCGTGACATCAGCCTGCCATTGAAATGAACTGTTGATGGTCTGTTCTTCCTCTAAACTGTAAGTTCTTTGGGAACAGACGCTGCATCTCATTCACCATACAATCTCAATACACAGCACACCTCACCTCCCCCCCACACCAATTCCTCTGAACTCTTCACACTTTCAGCTACAATAATAAGTCCTTTTAGCTCTATGATTCATCCCTTATTTTCTCATCCAGGCCTTTACATAGCCCTTTACTTCTCTTGTCCCATTGTTAAAATACAATTTATTCTCCAAGGCTCATCTCCAGGACCATCTTTAAGATCTTTTTTCTAACCCCTCTAAGCAGAGTTCCTGACAGTGTTTACTGTCAAGCCCTCCTGTTGTGTGCACACCCTCATTGTGGCATCAACCACCTGTAGTTGTAATTGTTTGCCCTCTGTTGCTTCACAGGTTATAAGGCTCATTGAGAGAAGGGACTTTTTTTTTACTCTTAATTTTTACTGCTTACTGTAGTACCTAGCATATGACTAGGTATGAAGTTAAATATTTTGCTGAATAAATCATGAATGAATGGTGAAGATAAAAGCATACACATCTTGACATTTTTGAGACATTGATCTTGTAGGACTCAAAATTGTATACAGAATTAATAATATAAGAATAAAATTATTGACATGTACAGTAAAGTTGAGAGACCTGGTGTGTGAATCCAAATCAGGAATTGAGCTCAGTTGTTCACCAGCAATGTCATTATGTCGTTTTAAGACAAAAGTGTCTGCCTAGGAGTTAGGATGGAATGACTCCAGTCTTGGTGTGGATGTGAGATAAACCTGATTATTCTTTCCTATCCCTTTTGGTAATAGTTCTCCTTAGTAACCTGTATTAGTATTCTGGAGAACTTACTTAATCACAACACACTGTGGTATTTTGACCAGGTTGAAAGCATTTTGGTGGCATGTAGTCTTTGATGACCCAAGATACTCAAACTGTTCCTCATTTCAGCTAATTCTACATATTGGTCAGTTGTGTGACATACATGGAAAATGCTACCTCCATTTTACTTACTGTTACAATGGATTTTCTTTGGGTACCTTAACCCAATGTTAAAATTCTTTCATTTCTTATCCTATGGAGTTTAAAAACATTAAATTGAAGATCCAAATTTTTCCTCTTAAGGAAATGACTTTGTTTACATTGCAGTAAATTCTTTATTTTGACCTCCCATTATCCCTTTCATTTAATGTAATATTTTACAGTATCTCAGAATTTTAGAACATGAAGGAACTTGAGATACTGTTTCATAAATTTTCTGAAGTCCTGTTTTGAACTCAGTTAAATACTTCTTTGAATCAGGACTCCTTTGCATGTTTTGAAATGAAGGTTTACTTAGCGTGCTCAGTGTATTGCTCCTACAAACACAGGTAAGTAGAACATCACCTGTTTCTTGGCTGAAAGAGTCCAGGAGAAAGGACTGGTGGGATAGCACCCTTTGTTATTTGTCAGGCAGGGCGACAAACCCACTCAAAGGAAATCAAATTCTGCTGTTTGTGTCTGCAGCCCACATCTGAAGTCCTGAGAAGGTACCTGTCTGTGTGTGTACACTGCTGTACACGTTAGTACACTTGAAACTGACTCCTCAGTTCAGTAAAGCTGATCGTTGTCAAGTCTTTACTTAGAAAAGAAGAAAAATTACACTTTTTTAGTATCACATGGATTATTTATTCTACTATGTTTTCAGCAAGAGTGAGACAGATGCTGATCTAACATTCAGTGTCAATCTCATTATCCTTGTAATGTTTTTTGCTCTTTTCCTCATTAAACAAAAATGATGATAACTGACTGTTTGCCTTCATAGGGCAAATATGTTTTGATTGGAAAGAGTTGAAAAAGATCCCAAATGGAGAACATTGTTTTGTTTATACAATAAAACTTTTTGGTGAAAAAGATACATTCTAGGAACATCATTTCTTATTAAAAAAATCCATTTTTAAAAACTGGATATCTGTTAAGAAATCAGATTGAACAGAAATGATGCAACACAGTTAAATATCAGAAAAGCCATGCCAGAAGTACAGAAGTGGATTATATCAGGTTTGTGGAAAACACGTTCTGGGTGAAGCTAGATTCCAGGTTGAGGTGGTTAGAAAGATACTGGGGGCAGTGAGCAAGGTCAGGCAACGAGGGCTCCCTACATTCAGACTATCTGTCTTTAAGGATCTTCCTGTCTTCTCTGAGGATGCCTATACTTG